AGCAGAAACTTTGGGAAATTAATCTACATGCACGTACGGGCCCAAATCCTCAAAATGGGCACCTTTACCCGCGTGGTACCCACATAAGAGCCCACCAAAGGTTTTTATGGGTAAGCTGCTAACTCGGGAACGAGAAGTGCTTGGGGGCCAAAATTTTAAGGGGATGTTCCTAGTCCAAGTAGGTATTAATGAGCTCAAACCCAGCTCCGGGTAAGCGAGATACCCGCGTACGTGTCCGCCAAAATTTTTTTCGGGTAAGTTCATAACTCGCGGATTCGAGATGCTAGACTGCTGAAATCTTAGGGTTTGTTCCCCTTCTAAGTAGGTATCAACGAGCTCAAACCCAGCCCTCGGGTATGCGTGGTTGCGGGTCCGAAGAAGTTTCCTTCCAGTAAATTGCTAACTCAGGAGCCAGGAAAGCTATAAAATTGAAATTTTAAGGGGGTGTTTCCTGACAGTTCTGGCGGCCAGTCTTAATTTGTTTTATCTAGAAAGATTTGGCGACAAAAACAGCGGAGAACTACGCAAAAAACGCATCTTCGCACGGGCAGACCGTGCGTTGGCCAATTATTTCGCATTGCACCGTAGTCTCTTTTTTTTTGCCTCGAGTAGTTACGTCCCCTCCTTCGCACCAAATTCGATAAGATGAAATAGCATCAATCACCGAACCACTTGCGCATATATGTGTGTGTTGTTTTGCATGGGATAATTCTTAAAAACTATAGTGGATGAGTATAAAAATACATAAACTGGTTACATTTCGTTGTTCAAAACATTATTTTTGATTTTATGCTACTTTTTTTAAATTTCACTAAAGCATATCTTTAAAAAATTACTGTTGCGTTTACCGATCAGTAACACAAGAATATCGAAATTTCAGATTTATGGCCGTCACGTCTGCAGTTACACCAGGAATACCAAAATCGTCCAGGCAATCAGTGCGGAATTCCGAATTTGCAATATTACTGGGATACTCCCGTACTGATGCCTGGTCCTTCATTCCTGCGCCGCATATCGTCTGTTCAATTTATGCGTGCCGCATCGACTCCGCACTCATCCGAGTGGTCGCTCGTTTCTGCGAATGTCATTCACTAGTACGGGAGACCTACCAGTTTTCCTGAAAGCTGACCTCGGTTTTTATGCGTTTTTTGCAGCAATGCAATGCAAAAAACGCATATTGACGAGAGGTTGTCTGTGTGTTTCGATTTTTTGTTGTTATATATTTCCTCCGTTTTTATGCGTTTTTTGCAGCAGTGCAATGCGAAAAACGCATATTGACGAGAGGTTGTCTGTGTGATTTTTATGCGTTTTTTGCAGCAATGCAATGCGAAAAACGCATATTGACGAGAGGTTGTCTGTGTGTTCGTGTGTCTGTGTGCCTGTGTGTGCGTCTGTCACGCACTTTCATCTCCGGACCTATAAAAGCTGCGATGTGTCTGTGTGTGCGCTGGGCCTCTGTATCGGTTTTTCATCTCGAGACCGGCAAAAGCTACGGAGCTGAAACTTTGGGGACTTGTGCGTGTGTGTGTGCGCTGCGCGTCTGTACCGATTTTTATGCGTTTTGTGCTGTGTAACAGCCGCGTTTTTTGCAGCTATGCAATGCAGAAAACGCATATTGACGAGAGGTTGTCTGTGTGTGTGTGTGTGCGTTTGAGTGTGTGTGTCGGTGTGTGCGCTGGGCCTCTGTACCGATTTTTCATCTC